CTCATCACGAGAATGGACCAAAAGTTTAGTTGATAATGTTGAACCGTTATTAATGACTTTGTTTGATCTCTTTGAATCTAGATCTTGGGATCTCCAATTTTCTAGGTAGAGTTACCGCTACTATGACTTGTTCTCGGTCATAGTCTCATTCTCGTTGATAATTTCTCAACTAGCTCTCTAGTTAGGCCTTTTGTAAGTGAATCCGACACATTATCACTTGACTTTACAGAATCAATCGTGATAATTCCCTAAAGACTTGTGAAAATTACAAATATGGTAAGTTAATTACCACAAGTGTACGAACTATAATATTTGTGCTTTTTCCTTTTCTTTCTTAAAATAAGTTTTTGCCTTAGATAATTTCCTAAAGGAAACTAGAAAAGTAAAGATCATGCCCCTACCCCCTATGATACCCGTCTTAACAAACTTAACTATTCCTTCACTTGTGAAAAATGTCATGTTTAACCCTTATTTGACAGATTCATCAATCGCCATCTTGCATTTTTTTACCACACCAAATAATCGTCCAAAAGAAAATATGTCACGAACCGGATTTCCCACCCTCGAGAGCCGTGATGGCGTATACTGGTGAAAGTTAGGCAAACCAAATTATTCTAATTACTTAACCTTTTCCAATTTTAAACCACTATCAGTGATGGGTAGATATCATGCAAATAGCGAAAATAATTAAACGGAAGACAAAATCTGACAATTTATCTTAATACAAAACTGCGGAAGTCTAAATACAACTCTACCCGGAATTTGGTGTCACAGCTTCACAGACGGTCTAAGAATACTATAAACAAAATCTAAAAGATAAAATACACTGCTTCTGAAATGAGTAAAGGAAACAGGATAAAGAAAAAGATAGGATGTGACGCCAAGGCCTGCAGATGTCTGCCGGACTACCCCGTGTCGCCTGTGTGGGCTGAAGACAACACCCTCACTGCAGTCCAAGCACTCCGGTATCAGTATTTGCACACAGTGCAGAGTGTAGTATCAGCACAACCGACCCCATGTGCTGGTAAGTGCCTAGCCTAACCTCGGTGAAGTAGTGACGAGGCTAGGACCAGACTACCAAATAAACCTGTGCAATATAGCGTACAAAAATAATAGGAAGCAGATAACAATGATGGCAACAATGATCAACCAGTGATATAAGTAGCAGGCAACAAGAACACCATAAATGTTTCTCAACAAATAATAAATACAAGTGCAATCAATTTATCAAGTCCTTCAAATATAAATCTTTTGCCTATAAATCTTTCAAGTAATAATCTCTAAGATAATATGTTTTTCAATGAATATATTTTGAATATATTTCCTTTAAATAAATATCTTTAAAATAAGCATCTTTTGAATATAATTCTTTCGAGTAAAGGTCACCTTGTGACGCCTCATTCACTTAACATAAAGTAGAGTACAACTTCCAACCCAATTAGGAAATCAACAAGAAAAGATGAAGTTATTTTTAGAAATCATTTGATAAAGAAGATACCCTTTTCAATTAAAGTACAATATCGAATGAATCATTACCTTTAATACGAGAAATCAATAAATCAAAATATAGTAGAAATTCCTTTTTAGGTAAAGTACAACCTCAAACGGTTTAAGGAAAATTTAGTTAAGAAATCAATTGAGTTAAAAATGTAACAATTGTTGAAATTTGGAGTATTGAACATAAAAAAAAGGGGTAAAAACAGAATATCAAGAGAATTATAAAGGAATCAAAATCGAACCACTAACAAAAATAAGGAAAACAAAGGCAGATTTTACTTTCTTTTCACATCTTGTTGCAGGCGTGCAACCCGATCCCATTTCATATATCTCGTGGCAGGCGTGCTACCCGCTCCCATTTCATTATATTTCGTGGCAGGCGTACCACCCGTTCCCATTTCATGTATCTCGTGGTAGGCGTACCACCCGCTCCCATTTCATTATATCTTGTGGTAGGTGTACCACCCGCTCCCATTTCATCATATCTTGTGGTAGGAGNAGCCCACGTCTCTGAACCCGACAAAAATCATGGAATATGAAACCCCATCCAATCACGAGTCCAACCATACTAATTTTACCAAAATCCGACACCAACTCGGCCCTCAAATCTTCAAATTAAACCAAGAGGGTTTTCAAAAATTTTCCAACTAAAATTACCAATTAAATGTCAAAACTAGTAATAGATTCGGGTAATCTAACTAAAATTAAGTTAATAACACTTTCCCCGTTGTTTTCTCTGAAAATCTCCCGAAAATCGCATCTCCCCGAGCTCCAATTTGGTAAAAATGAAAAATGGGACGAAGTATATAAGTTACCAATATCCCAAGCGGAAGAGGTACACAAGCGTAAGAGATTTTGAAGGAAAAAAAGAAAAGAAAAGAAAAGATAGAGATAGCAAAAAAATAAGGAAAAAATAAAAGTTATAGATCAACTATTTACACAGTGTTGGCATGTAACTATATGAAGATTATCTTGATCGAAGCAATTAATCATGTCTTCGTATGAAAAATGCTGCTAAAAAGGATATTTAGGGTACCGACATTGGAGAAACGCTGGTATGGAGAGAATATGAAACTTTTGTTATAATTAAAAGGAGAATGAATCGAAGTCAACTTAATCCTCCACTATCACATTATGGATGGACATTGATTGACAGTAATAAAACTTCAATATACTATCGGTTATCAATTGTCTATGTATTCCCTTAATTAATGAAGAGTTATGACTCTTCGTATAACGTGGTTATTACAACTCTTCGGTGAAAGAACCAATTTGAGGGGAAAAAACAAAAAAAAAAAAAGAGAAAAAAGATAAGTATGATTCTTGGCCAAATACACATACCACCTCACTTNCTGATAATAACATATGAAGCGCAATAAACTGCAACAGAGTCATAACAATTATAATACAAGACTCACGGGAATGCTTGACACCAACGTATAGATACTCGTCACCATGCCTATACGTCGTACTCCACAATTAACATGTAGCAAATAAGACACAACTCCTAATCCCTCAAGCTAAGGTTAGACCAAACACTTACCTCGTTTTGCAACCAATTCAAAATTCCAACAAGCCTTTGCCTCGCGAATTCGTGCC